AATTAAGTCAGTACGTAAAAATTGCCAAATGTCTTCTGAATGCCGGAAGCGATTGATCGAACCCTTAAGCAAAGAACCACTTTCATAAGTCACCTAGATCTGATTGAAGTTACATAACCGGAAGAGGACCATAAGGCGAAAGCCAGCAGACTGCAAGAAGCTTGAATTTAACGGTTGTTATTTTAGACTTTTAAATCGGGCGCGACAATAAACGCCAGCGTTAAAAAAATATTACTAGGCTAGGCGCATGAAGCAATATTACACTCTGCTGGAGAAAGTTCGACCAGTCGGCGGATCGGAACGAGTATTCTATGAAAATCAACTAGAAAGACAAAATATTACTTTTCTCTTACAGGCAATACAAGGGGAATGATCGTGGTCTTTAGATTCGTCAGAGGCTTAAACTGTGCTTTTAAGATGGCAGATGTTTTACAATTGGCAAAAACGACAAATCTCTGAGGTGAGCAGTACAAACTGAGGACATAATACGCCAAATTTGTGGTGCAATTCAACTTCGTTTCCCATCGGGTGATAGAGAACTGGAGCTGAGTAGCTTCTTTGGTTGTTCTTTTTGAAATCGTTGGGAGATTTAAAAGAAGACTTGGTGAAACTACGCTTGATGCCAATAAATGATTTATATAAGGTACCCATAGCGCTTTGTAGCGTCTATATTCTTTGTCAGAATTTATCTGTAATTTGCGTTTCAAAGGCTCTGTCTGTCTCCTTTTTATAAAATGAATTTTATCTTAGTTGTCACGGGCAAATTGGCATGCTAAGAAAGTTGGATGGAACCAGGAATGGCAGGGGTGTGATTATGAAAGAGTCAGTAACTGCCAATGATTTAAAAGCAAACAGGTACATTACAGGGTAGGAGAAGTGATGAAGGCTAGATCGAACACTCTAGCATGAAGAACTGGTTAAAGTTGAGTTTTTGTGCAGTTAATGTTTAATTTCTTCGAGCAGTACTTATATGAAGGAGCAGAGTGCTCCTGACACCCGGCAATTTCCGTCACCGCACATGTAAGCGAGTAGCTAATTAGTTTGCATCAGACTTCAGCCACAGCTGAAACCTACATTAATTTATTTATTATATCCCAGAAATTTTTTAAAAATTAGGAAGAGATAAGAGTTCTACTGTTGATGCTGACTATATCCACCATGCAAATCACAGCAAGATAAATGCAGGGATATTGACTTGCGCGCCCTCTAATACATTTTCTTCTCCATCGACTACCTTTGCTTGGTAACGTGGGAGGAACAGAAACGTCTGCGTCATGATCGAACGCAGTGTAACAAAGCTCACTTATGCAGGCTACATACTTGGTCCGCATACGATGAGTACATGTTCATACAAACCGTAAAAGGACGTTGCTGCTCACAGTTGATGGAAGTTTCATGAAGGCATTCTGAAGAAAGACGTAGTACAACCTAATGTTCAGTCCGAAGAGGAGGACCGTGTTAGCCCGTGCCTTCACAGCGCTCAATGCAACGGCTTCTTGCACATCGTAGTGGCTTAAAATTTGTCAGGTTTTTTACAATGGGGAAAGTGTATGGAGCTATCGCAAAGTGTTAAGGCTATTGAAGTTTAAACCTAAGGGCTGCGATCTTCCTGGCCCGGTTCCTTAGGAGA